GAAATACTCTCTGCGATCAAAAACTTAATCGCATCAATAACTCGTATTAGGTATTGATGTAGTTTCTCCGCTACTTTACGTTTTTTGTTCAGATGTCTTATGGTTTCAATATCTAATCGTTTATCAATTGTGGAGTCTGATAATGCACGAACCATAGCCTCAGCAGCATTTCGATGGTTTTTCTGGGTGAAATGCTTTGTTATGATGTGACTTAAGTTTGACCAATTATCAAACCCATCACGTAAAGAATTTGTGTCCTCTCTTGATCCAAAGCATAAACAAACAATGCAAAATATTTTGTCTAGGGATAGAGAGTAGGTTAGCCTTGTCCTTTTCTGCACAACTTCAATGTCATTAACTTTAACTTATTCAGTGTAATACTTAGATGACCTTAAATATTTTGTTGGCTGATTTGGCTATAATACAATAAATTGCTTTTTATCAATCATCTTTGCATTTTTCAGCTCTAGAAATTTAGTTGGATATTTTCATTGACATTTACAACGTTGGCTGGTTGCTACTAAATAATCTTTTCTGTTAGAGTTAGGTCCACCGCTGTAGTTACACGCACTTCATAGTTACCCATTTCAACAGTCACTCTTTCAGTTTTAGTAATGTTTCGGTTTCTGAATGTTTCTGAATATTGTAGTTCTCCTCCTTTATCTGCTGCAATTATGACATCCTGATTATTGTCTGTTTCTTGTAAAGATGATTGGTCACTAATCTCTATTATTGGCTCTGCTTCAATAATAGGCTTACTTGTGATATTCACAATAGATGTTGATCTTAATTCTACATTCTCTGTTGCTGTAAAGGATGTCCCAGTATTTATCTGTTTTGGCGGCACTTGCACTGACGCGAGACCTGCCGTTAACTTTAATTGTTTTGGATCATTACCAGCTGCTTCAATTCATGTTGTCGTTTTTGAGCTTTTTTTCAGCACCAGATTTGTATTTCCATGTTGCCTCTTTCTTTTTTTTTTACCCTTTCTTTTACCTGAAACATAAATAAATATAAAATAAAAAATATATCCTATATTTGAAACCAGGGTATTGGTTTCTTTCGTATGAGTTATAACTACTATTGGTCCATGGAATTTATAAATAGTAGAACTACTTATAAATTCCATGGACCAATAGGGAGTGGACTAGAGCATATTGAGTAGTGAATGAAAGTAATAACAAAAATTCATTAAACACACAGTTTTATTTATCAAACAAAATGTTTTTATATTAACCATATTTATCAATGCAAAGCAAATGAATTCATGCATTCTATATATTTATCTTTTTGAAGTTTTCAATAACAATTTTCACTACAAAGTTTGTTTTCGGTATTCCTTTCGATTAACAATACGTCTGCCTCTACCTTCTTCTGTTTCAGCCGCCCTTGCCCTTGAATATCTTTTTCTTTGTTTTTTTAGCTGAGATGCCCGTTGTTCAGCTGATTTATTTGCTTTAGCTCGAAATTTCCGTTCTTTTACTTGAGCAAGACAAGCTAATTTATCAACTTTAGTTTCCAGCTTTCTTTTTTATATTTAGTATTTTTCTTTATATTTCTACGTTGGTAAGATATTTTCTTAAAACTTTAAAATTTAAATTAATAATAATAATTAAAAACTTTAATTATTATTTTAAATAACTATTTATCAGAGGTAAAAAAAAAATGTATTCAAGTAAAAGTACTGTTACTTGAGTGAAATTTTACTCAAGTACAAGTAAAAATTACCGGTCGAAAAGTTTACTCAAGTAAAAGTAAAAAGTAGCTTATTAAAAATGTACTCAGAGTTAAAGTAACTGTGTTACTCTTTTGAACAGCCTGTCAGATAACAAAGCCGTCGAATAAAAAAACAAAATTCACGTAGTGTATTCTTTTATGTTAAAAATTTTTTTTTCGCAGAAATTTTTTTGTAGTCGTAAAAAGTGAAAAAAAAACAAGCTAAAGCGGTTAAACGTCGTGATGAGCGCGCTTAACATTATTTTTAAACAATTTAAACTTGACATTTTTATTAAAGTGAGCGAAACTAAATTGACCTGAAAATTTGAGGAAAGCACTCTAATTTGACGTCGAAGTTTAAAAAATTACACTAAAAACACTAATATCGCCATTTTTTTAAAAACGTTTAGAAATCTTTTTTTTAATTACGCTAACCGGTTTTTATTGTCGTCATTATTGAAATTAGTTAAATATTATAATGAATATATATATATATATATATATATATATATATATATATATATATATATATATATATATATATATATATATATATATATATATATATATATATATATATATATATATATATATAATATATATATATATATATACATACAGCTTTTTAGAAGTAAATACATCGACTGACAAATAGAGATTGGCGCAATTAAATGTACATGGTTAGGCTCAGGGTTAGGGTCAGAATCAGTTAAAAACTCATGAGTTTTCTTTAAATAGTTTTTCGTCAAAGTGGTAATAAAAACCGGGCTGTTTTATGTTAACTAAGAAAAAGAATCTAATCACATTCGTGTATAAAGAAAATGGCTCAAACTTTCAGGTCAATGTTTTTATACGATTCTTAATCAGCATGAAATCCTCTATCGAAATCAATCATAAAATGATAGGGGTAGGCAACTGAAACAGTGTCCTTTTTTTACTGTATCTATCAATATCAGGTCAACATCTATCAATTTCAGGTCTACGACATTTTTTGTTATTATTATTTAACAGCGATTTTATCTATTTACCCTAAACAAAGTTTGTTGTTTTTTGTATGTTTTAATTACTTTTTTTAATGATTTTTTTTATTTACGCTAAACTAAATTATAAGGTACTTCTTTTATTATTACCGCTGACCTAGTGTTTGTTTTGCGCGGACGACAAACAAACCGAAGTGAAAGCAAGTTTATAAAATGTTGTAAAAAATGCATCTTAATTGGAAGTTCATAATAAAATAACTCTTGATAAGTTAAAACATGGATATGTAACTAAAATCGATCAAAAAATCAAGAAGGATGCATAAAATGTATGCATCAAAAATTATAGAAGAAACGAATATCTTATTAGATAAGGAACTTGATACTAGCGAAAGTCGTGACGATGTGGAAACTGACTTAAATATGAACTTGGAGTTGTTGAACATAAAAATGAAAGTTATAGAAAATCTTAACGATAAAATAAGTGAGTTGTTGGAAGATGATGATGAGATTTGCATCATCATCTTCCAACAACTACATATCTACACTGCACTCACAACAAAAATATGTAAAATCAAGAGAGTGGCAACCTAAATCAGTTAAGCTCATTTCTTGTTCATTTTGTAAAGGTCAGCATCCAAGTAATCGGTGTAATGTTGTTACAGATGTTGTTGCAAGAAAACGTATTATTCAAACCAAAAATAGATGCTATAACTGTTTAAAATCAGGACATTCTGTAAAAAATTGTTATTCGAAAAATATTTGTTTTCAGTGTAATGGTAAGCATCATATTACAATTTGTGATAAAAAAAAACAATGCTGTAGTTCACGTAAACAATCCAAATTCAGATAAAACCATACCAGATACCTCAGCCAATGTTGTTGGTTGTCAAGACAATATTCTCCTACAAACTACAAAGACTGAAATATCAGACACAACTCAATAAAGAAAACTAAAATTGTTGGAAGAGTGTTATTTGATAATGGTTCTTAAAAGTCCTTTGTGACATCTGATGAAGGAAAGAAGTTAAATCTAAAAACTATTCGAAATGAAATTCTAAATGTAAAAGTGTTTGGAGAAAGTTGTGAGAAACCTCGAAAATTTGATCTTGTCAGTATTAAAATTAAAAACATCCAAACCAATCATTATTCTACAATCAAAGCATGTTACACCAATCATATGCTCTCCTATTATCAAACAACGAATCGACCTAGCAAAATTGCAGCTCACAGAATTAGCTAATATACCACTAGCTGATGATTCAAAAGATGGAAAAGAAATTGATATAACAATAGGTGCAAATTACTACTGTAACTTTGTAACAGGACAAATAATTAGAGCAAATCAATCTCTAACCGCAGTTAACACAATTCTTGGTTGGACTCTAAATAAAAATGTTAAGTCAATTAATTCTGCTTCTATAAATGTAGCATATGTTCTTCATACATCTTTTGAACCAATCTTAGTTAATTCAGACAATCTTGGCCGTCTTAGTTTTGGGAATTAGAAATTAATGAAGCAAACACAAGCTTTGACTTAAAAAATTTCTATGACAAAATCCAATTTAATGGTAAGAGCTATTCCGTACCGCTACCTTTGAAAAATTAAAAAATTAGATACAGTTGAAAAATTTCTATATTTTATTAACCTATCGCTCTGAGAGCAATAGGTTAATAATTTTTATAATCTTAGGAGACGTTATTCTAGGAACGGGGCAAATAAAGGTCGGGACGGGGTTGGGTTAACTCCAATTACCAGAACTTTTTGCAAATTGTCCTCATTTGATACCAGTATAAACATACTAGAAATATGCTTAGATACTTATCTAGAACAACAAAATTACTGGACACTCGTCTAAAATACGTGATTTCCCCCAGGCCCTCGGTGAGAAAAAAAGTTATTTTATACATTTTTGGAAATAGGAAGACTCTTCTGATGATAAACAAAAAAAAATTTCTGAGGATATGTTGCAAGGTCTTAGAGCATGTTCCTATGCACCGTGAGCACAACACACTTAAAAAAATGAATAGCGAAAACATATCAAATAAAAACGTCAACTTTTTTTTAGTGATTTTTACGTTTAAATGACTTACTTGATGATACCTTTATCGTGTAATAGGCAAATCTTTTTTGGGAACAAATCGCTTATGTATTAGATGTGTACCGTGTGTTGCATTGTAGTTAGAATTAGCTGTAATATTGTTGACTGCATCTCATGGACTGCTAGAACCATTTGTTTATTTTATCTTAAAACTATTTTTTACAGCATTAATAAAATATACAATATTTATAATATAAATAATACATTTTAACGATCATTCTATTATACATGTCTATGAATTTTTTATACTAATACACAACCCGGTGGGAAATCGGCTAGCGAATAGCTAGCTATAATCGTAACGATAAAGACAGCAATTTGGCCACGAGGATCACTAGCTTTTTTAAGTTATCGAAAAGCTATTGATATTTGTAAAGATAAAAACAGACATTTGGCTAAGAGGACAGCCAGCTTAATAAGCTAAAGATCCACTGGCTATTGTAACTAGCATCATATTGTAATAAAGTCGTTGTCTAAAAAAATTTGATTTGTAGCTATCAACCAGCTATAGATTTGTAGATATTTTGTAGCTAGCTACAAAGCTACGAAATGTAGCTAGCGACACATTGCTACAAAATCGCAATGTTTAAAGTTCAATTATCCTCATAATTATAATAGATTCAACACTAAAAATCGAATTTTTAAAGATATTAAAGATATTAGGAAATAATAAAATAGGAAAAAAAAATCGCTAGAGAATCGCTATAAAGTTAGCTAGTCTCTCGCTAGTCGCTAGCTCATTTCCCACCGGGAAGCTTCCAACAGCATCTACAAATTATAATCTTCTGCAAGACAACTAATTATACTGCATTGTAACTTTAACTAATAACAATTATAACAGCCCATGTCTATATTAATAAAAAGTAATCAATAAGACCATACATTGTGTATTCACTGCTGAGCGTTATGTCGCCAAGTGTTGCCTATGATTATCCATTGTTTTGTCAAGCTTATCTGATATAACAAATTTTATTACCAGTAGGACCCGAATCGCATATTAAATGCCATTTCAACTGCATTTTGTGGTACACCATCTTGATAACAAAGAAATATCTCCTCGTCATTATCTTTTCCTCTTTTTACCAAACGCCTGAAAAGTAAAAGTGTATTAAAGTTTAAAACGTTTAAAAATGTTAAAAAATTACAACCATTTATTATATTTATATATTTATTAAAAATACAACCATTTATTAATACCATCTACTTAAAAAAAGTCCGAAGCCATTTTTTAATTATTAATAGTAAATGTCAAGAGTAGCCATCATGAATTTTCTCTTAAAAGGAAAACAAGATTGTAAAAAACATACCCAACTACCCAAAAAACCATATTCGGTGAGTCCTTTTTCATCGCTGCTCCTTTCGTTGACAAAACATTAAACATTACACCTTTTTCAATCACCTGCTAATTCAATGCAAATATAAATTCTTTTATAAACTTTTTCAAATTTATATTGGACCTGAAAAAAAAATTTTCTAGGGTAATTTAGTTAATTAATACAATGATTTAGGATAAGTAAGAGTTAAAACAAAGAGAAACTGAAATGCTAAAACTTAACAATATTTTCCTAGACAAAAAACAGTGTATACAGAAAATTTTAAAACGCAATTAACCCTCATCAATGCAGATAGATTCAAGAATTTTCCTTAAATTTTTTTGTACTTGGTTTATAGATCTTTATATGGACATGATTTTAACAAATTATTATGAACATTTGACGATGTCAGAAAAAGTTATCGGCACAGTATTATCTACAACACGCAAAACCCATAAAAAAGTTTTACTTTTATTTTCATAAAAAAAGTTCGAGATATAAAGAGATAAAATTTTCAATAATAAACCGAATAAAGTGTTTAAAAAGTTTTAATTTAATGTTAAGAGCACAAACTTTGCAATTGGAGAGTTGTTAAAATCCTATATTAAATTAAAACATCTTTTTTCAATGTTCAAGTTTCAAATATTCAATTACTAACCTAAAGGAAACTTTAAAACAGAAAAATAACCAAAATAAAATTGTTTTGTTTACATTAGACAATATAAACAAGTATTTTTTTTTAAAAAATGAAATTAAAAAAAAACAAAAAAACTTGTTTATGTTGTCTAATGTCTACTTTTAGCAAATCCTTATAAATAAATTTTGAATAAACTAAAATTTCCTTTTTAAGTACCTGTTCCTATAACCTGATAAACTTGCATTTTTTAAGTATCTGTTCCTATAACCTGATAAACTTGCATTTTTTAAGTATCTGTTCCTATAACCTGATAAACTTGCATTTATTAAGTATCTGTTCCTATAACCTGATAAACTTGCATTTTTTAAGTATCTGTTCCTATAACCTGATAAACTTGCATTTTTTAAGTATCTGTTCCTATAACCTGATAAACGTGCATTTTTTAAGTATCTGTTCCTATAACCTGATAAACTTGCATTTTTTAAGTATCTGTTCCTATAACCTGATAAACGTGCATTTTTTAAGTATCTGTTCCTATAACCTGATAAACGTGCATTTTTTAAGTATCTGTTCCTATAACCTGATAAACTTGCATAAACTGATTTTGATGCTCTTAAAACTCAAAACTCTTGAAAATATTTTTATACAGAAATTTTTTTTTTTTTAATGTAATGTAATTCAATGTAATTCAGAACATATAAATGAAGAAATATTTTTTAAATTAGAAGTGATAAGTTTTAAGTAATAAGTGTTAATTAGTAATAATTAAATATTATTTATAATTACAAGCATAATAATGTAGTGACTAAAAAAATTCTCACTTACGGTCCTTTCTACAAAGCATTTATGAATTTCTTCACTAAAAAGCAGAAATAGACGTAAAACATCTGTAAAAAGTGTATCTAATGGATCACAAATATTTGATGAAATAAAAACTGCAGACTTGCGCTTAAATGTAATATGGTAAAACAAATTAATGGCTTGAAATGCTAGTCTAAACATAAAATAAGAAACTAAAAAATATAAAATAAAAACTGTAAAATTTTTATTTAAAAGATAATCTAGCAAAATTACAAACTTAAACCAACTTAGTTGATCCAGGTGATGTAGCAGATCCCTGAGAGATATAAGATACATCACTAAATGATCCAAGACTTTTTGAATGGCTCATATGGGAAGTGTTGTTGCCGTACTGTTCATCTTCTGAATTCATTCTATATAAGTTGTTCTCAAAAAGATGAGTGGTCTCTGATAAGTTTAATGGTTTTCCAACAGATGGAAAAGATGTTTGGTTTAGTCTAGAAATATATTTATATTTAAATAAAAATTAAGATTAATATTTTTAAAAGTTAACATCTTAGATAAGCTTTTATATAACTTAGTTAAGTTAAAACATCTGTTATAGTATGTAAACTTATCCTTATATAATTCTTTATAATAAAATACAATATTTCTAGGGGTTATATATACCCTCGTTATTCAAGTAATATATTATATTAGTATATAATGATTACTTGAATAACGAGGGTATATATAACCATCTAGGAATATTGTGTTTTAATATAATGAATTTTATAAGGATAAGTTTAGATACTATAACAGATGTTTTAACTTAATTAAAATAAGATCAAAATTAAAAAGCAAGTTTGTACACTTAATCATGGGGAGAGGTAGGGGGGAAATATTTTACTACTACTTGACAACCCATAAGAAATTTACCCAACTCAACACTGTTGTCATACAAACCTGCAGAATTAAAGTTAGCAATAAATAAAAAAATTAAAAAAACAGTTAAATGAGCATTTAAACTTTTTTTGCTAACTACTTTTTTTTATTAAAAAAAAAGCTACCTTGACTAGAGTTGGCACCGGGTCTTATGTAGTAATAAAAATTAAAAATATTAGTAATAAAAAATAAAAAATAAAAAAAATGAAAAGATGAAATCTCATTCAAACAGTAAGCATGGTATATTTTTGTATAAAAAACACAACTTTAACAAAAAATACAGAGTTTATTTATAACAATGATTAACTAAAAAACTATTTGAGTCACCAACCACATTTTGAATCCGTCAAAAGGAAAACATTTATGTTCAATGAAAAAAAGTAGCAAAAAATGTAGCAATGAATAAGTGCTAATTTAATCAAGCTCGAAGTAACAACATCAGAAAATGAGAGAAAAGTTTATTAAAATCATTAATGCAGATAAAAACTATCATGATGCCAAAGGATGGACCCTTGTGTTATGATTATACTGAAAAATAATTTTTTAAATCTTACCCTGAATTCATATGAGGAGAGCTTATGGATAGGACCAGCATGCTAGACTTTGTTGAAAGTCTTTAAATGACTAAAACTCATTTTTTAAGTCATCTTAATATATAACAAAATGTCTTGACTACCATCATTAAAATGTCTTGATTACCACTATAAAAAATGCTTCGATTACCACCATTTAAAAAGAGTAGAAGCAGTAGAAAAACTCATATTGATTGTCGGATTAATTAGATTCAATATGATAAAATATTGCTGACAACACTAACTTTATTGCTATTTATAACAAAACCGTTATAAATATAGTTTCATAAAAATAAATAAATAAACAACACTAAGTACTTTTAAAATAAAAATATGTATATATAAAAGCTAAAGTTATGTTTTGCTGTGGTCTTGTTTAATAAGATTCTCTGTGCAGTGGTCTTGTTTAACAAGATTCATGCTTTGGAGTTTAGGGTTAAGAATTACAAATAACATTAAATTATATATCGAAAATAAGGAATTGTAATTTGAAGTTGAAATAGAAAAAGGAAAAGAAAAACAGGGGTCATTGACCTTTAAGAAAACTTTAAACTTATGGCAAATGTCAGAGATAAAATTATAAGTGTCAGAGATAATAAAATTCTACTTGGGTGCTTTAAACTTTTTTCTTTGTAATAAAAGCATCTATTGAAATCAGGGATGCAAAGTCCTATCAATTTTAGGGGGCTCCAGACTCTGGGGTCAATAACTTGGGGCTCCTTAAACCTTAAATTTTTTTAAAAAATATATATAACATTTTTGATCCAATTAACCAGAGTTTTTAGAGATGAAATCCCTGAATACTAGAATAGACTATATAAAGTTTCAATTATGCTGTAAAAAAATTTAATTTATTTTTTATTTGATTTCTTTGCTCAAAAAATAACTATTTTAGGTTAAGGGCATTTCTATAAACATAATTCATATAAAGAACTTGTTAACTTCAAGTTTGCATACGGTAATGGTGTAGTAATAGAGCGCTCGCCTTGTAAGCAAAAAGTTCCAAAACTTAATAGCTAAGAAAACAACTTAGGAGTTGTCCATCACAACATCATAACTATTTAGTAAAAAATCCTGTACAAGTTGTTTAAAACCACTAACACCTCCTCTTTTCCCATCCTCCTTAGAGCAAAGCCTAATTTATGGACAACTCATATGATTTAAAAATATAACTTTTTTTATCAGCAAAACCATATATTTTAGTTTAAACAATATCATTTGGAAATGTGTTAGAAAAATACATTCTTTTACTTTGGCATCAATGTGAATTGGAGTGTGTAAACATTTGTGCCTAAACTAGGATTGCCATGGTCCCAGTGTTTATATAGGAAAGCGAAGCGCTAAACTAATTAAAATTAAAATGTTTATGTCATAAAAATTGTTAGGACTCAGAGACTCCGGGATTTTTTTAATCAGCATTTAAACGTTTCCTAAGGAACCCTTATTAACTTCTATAAGTTTATTAATTTAAATTTGTTCAGCCAACAGTTACATAACTTTAAATCAGTAAAAGCAAGAATGCATTGAATTACATGAAGTCATTTAATAATTTGCAGCTTGTTTATGGCAAACATCGTCAATAGCATACATTGCTTTTAAAGAATATAAGAGACGAATCACAGTATGTGCGGTGTACAAAACCTTTAGTATACACTGATAGCTAGATGCCAATTTAAGCTTAGGCTGGGATTGTCATTGTCAAGGTTTTCCGTAGGAGAAAGCAATGAACATTTCAATTTTAATTAGTTTAGCGCTTCGCTTTTCTATATAAACACCGGGACCATGGCAATCCTAGTTTAGGCACAAATATTTACACACTTCAATTCACATTGATACCAAAGTAAAAGAAAGTATTTTTCTAAAACAGGGACTCCTGGACTCTGGACTTCGTATCCTTGATTAAAGTACTATTTTGTTAAAACTTTTGATTAAACCAATTTTAATAGTTGGTAGAATAAATAATTTAAATTGGATAAATATTCAATAACTTCACTCTTAATTTCCTTCGTATCGGTATGTTTTATAATATACCAACTTAAAGAAAATAATAGAAAATAAACATAGACCCACATTACCCAACTATAAAGGATTCAAAGTGATGCTCCTTAGACACTTGTATAATAATATTCAATTAAAAAAATGTCCAATAGCAAAGATAGTTTTCTTTAGAAAAGAGATTGTTTTGCAATATTTTTTGCTTAAAGTCAAAAACAGCCACAAAAAAAAAATTACCCAACCTTATTTTTTTTAAAAAACTCTTTTTTAAATTTGAAATTATTTACTTAAATCTTACTTTCACTACCTGAGCTCACAGAAACTTTCTAAATTCATTGTTTCAAGAATGTATGATAAAATTGAAGAGGTTGCATCAACATAATACGGATGTGGTCCTGGATTACCATTTGGTCTAAAATAAACAAAATTCAACAGCATTCTGACATAATATAAAAACAAAAATTTGAAACTACTAAAAAAAACTTACAAAGATGCAATGCTACCAGCCTCAAGAAGAGTTACTAACATACTATGACCCTGTCAAAATCAATACAATTTTATAAATAATGAAAAGTTACTAATATACTATGACCATGTCAAAATCAATACAATTTTATAAAGAATAAAGAATGAGACAATATGAGAAATAAAATATATCATAACTTGAAATATAAAGAATGCAAAGATACGAACTAAAACTAAAAAAAGATGCGCAAAACCATAAATATTGAAAAAGTACATTATAGAAACTGCCTAACCCATACCTAACCATGGTGATAATGATGATGATGATGACGATGATGATGATGATGATAATGATGATAAGTTAGATGTACAAAAATAAAGGTTGTATGTAAAAAAAAAAAAAATGATTAGATCTAAAATTAGATGTATAAAAATAATGATTTGATTAGTAGAAAAACAAAAATTAGATGTAAAAAAAGAATTAGAGATTTCATAAACCAATAAGATTAATTTACAAAGATAAACAAAAACATTTTCACCTGACCAACAGCAAGAACAAACCATCTATAGTTACCATCTTTAAAATCTTCTGATATAAAAATCTAAAAAGTGTTTTGATTTTATTTTTTATAGCCTCATATTTATTATATGTAGACAGCTTTCAGTCTTGAATAGAAGAATATATTTAAAAAGAATTATTTAAGGCTATTCTCAAAAACCATTTGTTTAAACTTACTTCTTTCCAATAAACCATTTTGTTCACTCTTTCTTTGCTTAGCAGTAAAAACAAACCATAGTACTTACAAAGTAGAAGTACTTTTTTCAAATGAAGTGAATTTAAATGATTGCATATTAAATTGTCCTAACATTTAAATAAATTAAAATTGTGAAAAAAGTAAATATATAAATGAATAATTACGAGAAAAATCATTAGAATATTATTTGCATTAAATACTACGATTATTGTTTAAAATTCTTATTGTTATCAAATAATGTTCTAACACACCCTAACAAAATATATGTTACACATACACCCTATGTATGTATAACATATATATACACCCTATGTATATATAACATAACAAATGTTATACATATACCCAAACACAATTTACTCTATACATCAAATACTGAATAAATAGATTTTCAGAGAAAAAAAGTGAATAAGAGACATAATGACTTTTATTATTTAGGAGATGATATTGTAATAAAAAAAGACATTTGCAGCTTGTTTTGTTTTTGCGCCATGAAAAATTTTTTTAGACAAGCATTGTCTTTAAGTTTTCACACTAGTTATCCATTTATTAACAACTTATTGGATAAAAAAATTTGACAAAGAGCTATAAAATTGTTTTATATTTTCTTATTCTAACAAAATGCAGGCATTTAAAGAACTATTACAACAATTAGAAACTCCACAATAAAATAATATATTAAGTAATTAATATATAATTTATACATAAAATATAAATTTTTATGAAATAATTGAGAGTGTATCAATTTTATTTTTTATCAGTTAACTAATTTTATATTTTATCAATATAATTTAGAACGTAATGATTTTATATTTATCAAATAGTCCAATCTAATTAAAAACATTTACATTTAAACTGACGCTCTTTTTTAAATTATTTTTTTTGGAACAACCTTACCTTTTAAAAACCATTGCAGTTTATTATGTAATTATATCTTTTTTATAAAAATGACTTGGTGTTTTTTTTTTACTTACAATGATAATTATACTTTTGAGAGAAAAAATTACACCTTTGCGAGAGCCTTTAATTGCTCCTGTAAACCATTTTAGAGCAGTGTGGGCGAGAGCTAAAGCTCTCACTTCCAGCCAAGGCCTACACTACCGTCTCTAAGTTTAATCCAACTTCTGTATCTTAAATTCAAGACATTTTAAAGATAAAAAATAATAGCCAATACAGACAAATTAATGTCCAAATAAATTTAATTATGTAATGAGGTAAGATTTTTTTATAAATACACCAACGCCAAATTAGAAGTACAGTAAAAATGATAGCCTTTCATAATAATATTAAATAGTATAAACAAGAAAATTTGCTTATTTATTGTAGATGGTAATGCGTCATGCAATACCACCAAAGTCTTTATGAGAATTTATTACTGTTCTATAAAAAATAATAAACATTTCTTTTCAATCAAAATTTTTTCGGGGTTTGCTCTCATTTTAAAATAATTTGTTAATAAAGACGGTTATAGAAAAAAGAGTGGAAATTTATATTTTACATGGGTTGGGCTTTTCTAATAAAAATATTGCACAATCTGTTGGCATATCAGAGTATTGTTTGTTGCAAATAATTAAACAAAAAGAAGCTACAAGACCATAGCAAGAAAAAAACAATTTGGTTTGGGGTTGTTTTGGAGGTGGCCGTCAGAAAACTTGTAGTAATCAATAAAAATTTGACAAAAGAGGTCTATTGGCATATTTGGGAAGAACATGTTTTGGATTGTGAAACAGAACTTATTGATGATTGATTTGTTTTTCAACAAGATAACAATCCAAAACATAAGTTAAAGTGGTGAAAAAATATCTACAAAAAAAATCTGAAGATAGAGTACTAGTTAATGGCTTCACTTCACCTGATTGTGAATGATTGGCCACTTCACCTGATTGTGAATGATTGGCCACTTCACCTGATTGCAATTCTATTTTAAGACAAGAAAAGTGTGAAAAACCCTCCAAGAGGGAAAAAATACCTATGAATATCAATTCAAAATATTTGAAATGCTGTTGATGGCCAACATTTACAACTGCTGTGTAACAGATTGTCTTGTATTTGTCAGGTAATCATTAAATCTAGAGGCAGTCATATTGATGATAATACAATTTAATTTAAAGAAATTAATTTAGATAAGTAATTATAGTTTTTCTGATGAAAATTGAGTAAAATTATAAAGTAAACAAAATTATTTATTTTTGTAATTGTTGCCTTTATAAAATTCCAGATAAGTCCAAGTTCTTTACAAAATCTAATTTTTTTATGGACGGTTATGTATTTGTTAATTTATATTTAAATACATAACCGTCCATAATTTTTTAAATTATGGACGGTTATGTATTTGCTGAAAATAATTGAACTTAAATGTTTTGTTCTTTATGAAATAGTATCTGCCTATAATGAATAGCCTATGAATATTATTTATAGTACGCATAGTTACACATTGTTACGCCTATTGTTCGTTTTGTTAATTACGGTTCTGCATTATGCAAAATACACTATTTCTTTGCCTCTAGAATTTTCTAAGCGCAGTTATATATTCCATGCGGTCATTCGAGTAAAATCAGCAATCAAATTGGAGCTGATACATTTATTTTCAAGAAGAATTAATGTTGTTTATTTCTTAAAATAAAAATTTAAATAATTGTTAGTTTGCTATGTATATATATATATATATATGTATATCTATATGTATTTTCTCTTAGCAAAAATAATTGAGAATAGAAAAATAAAAAAAATTTCTTCTGGAATTTGTCAAAAGGGTGTTGTGTTATTCTTCATTTTAAGGTATCTAAATATGTATTTATTTTTCATTTTTTAGAATAAGTTAGAACTGAATTGACTGGTAAAACATTTTAAGCAGTATTTGTTTTATTTTTTAGAGCAGTTAAGAGAAGCTGATCGCTTTTTTAGTAAGTTCAAGTTATTTTCTCATACATAAATTAAGGTTTTCGATTTATTTCAGTCTATTTTATATTTCTCTATATCTACATATATATATTCTCTAAGGAAAAATAATAAGGAATAAAAAAATTAAGAAAATTTCTTCTGGAATTTGTCAAAAGAGTGTTGTATTATGCTTCATTTTAAGGTATCTAAATATGTATTTATTAGAAATTTTTTTAAACCAAGTTTAAAAAAGTTGTTAAACCAAGTTTAAAAAAGTTGTTAAACCAAGAAAATTGCAGAGGTTTATTTATCAATATATACTATAAATTATATAATAATATTGGAGGGAGTAAGTAAAAAGCATTTTTAAATTTTTAAAAAGAAATAAAAATACTTTTCAATATATATCTGTTTTTTTTGAGGTAGATTTAAAGTTTCAGGTTTTCAAAACTGTAGATCTTTTTAATGTATAAATAGACATTAAGTATTTCTAAGTAGACATTACGTATATATAAAATCTTTTAAAATTTAATAAGTAATTATTTGTTTAAATAAGTAGTTAATTGTTATAATTTATTAAGATTTAAATTATTAGAAAATTCATGTTTACAGAGTTGTTATTAATCATTATCGAGTTGTTGAACCAAAGAAATTGTAGAGGTTTATTTATCAAATATATACTATATATATTGTAAAAAAAATTTTGGTTTTCATATGTTTTCACTAATAAATAGTTCTGTATATATATATATATATATATATATATATATATATATATATATATATATATATATATATATATATATATATATATATATATATAACTATATATAACTATATATAACTATATATATCCTTGGAGTTGCGACAGCATAATAGTGTGTTAGGAGAAAAAAATTTATAAACCTGCGTTAATAACCTGTTTTCTATCGTACATAATGCATTAATAATGCATTAATAAATTTTATTACGTGTTTTGTTCAATGTTTTCTCCCAACGCATGAACTATGACGCTGTCGCAATTTTTTTTTTTTTTTATTAGAAATAAAATAAGTTTTAATAAGTTTTTGCTGATGTGGTTGCAGGTTTTTCTTAACTTCTATCAAATAAACTTAAGAAACCTGTATTACTTTTGATGAGGGCAAATTAATTTTATTTTGCATTTGTTTGGTTTCTTTATATACATTTGTTTTGAAATTTTTTTTTTAATTTTTCGAGTATGATTTTTTTAGTTAATAAGTTTTTTTATTTTATTGTTAACTTTAGATTAGTAAAAAAAAAAGAAATAATTAGTGTTGCTTTGATAAATATGTTTAATGAAAATGATGACATTGAAATGGATAATAGGCTAGATGTAGTTTTGTATTTACAAGATGATGTAAGTGCTATAAGGCGTGTTGAAAATAATCGTAGACGAAATGAAAGAAATGAAAGACTTAGGCGAGATGAAATTAATTGCTTACAAAATGAAAGAAATAGACTTAGGCGAGATGAAATTAATTGTTTACAAAATGAAAGAAATAGGCTCGATCGAGATAATGTTAATCTTTGCCAAAATGAAAGAAATAGGCTCGATCGAGATAATGTTAATCGTCGCCAAAATGAAAGAAATAGGCTTGATCGAGATAATGTTAATCGTCGCCAAAATGAAAGAAGAGCTGTTGGACAAGGACGAATGTATTCTATAGCGAGAAGTAATGCTATTCCAGATTATAATTATTTAGGAGAAATGAATCAAATTTGTCAGCACTGTGGTGCTAAGAAATTTCCAGATGAAACACATTTTCTATGTTGCCATAATGGTAAGGTAGCCTCCACTCTCACCAATTACACAAGCTTTACAGGATTTGTTTACAGGGAGTTATGTAGATTGTAATGCTAATGCTAATTTTTTAAAATATATTCGAAATTATAATGCCTGCCTTTCTTTTGCTTCTTTTACAGCAAATGTAGTTCAACCAATGAATCATGGGCTTCCATGTTTTAAAATATGTGGCCAGATTTTTCATCGTGTAGGTAATCTTAGGCCAGATCAAGATATTCCACCAATATATTCTCAACTATATATTTATGATCCACTTGCTGCACTAAATTTTAGAATGCAACACTATGCTAATGATCTTTGTTTACATGATTTAATGTTTCAATTGCAAACTATAATTATGGAACAAAGTCCATTTGCTCTTGCATTTAAAAACATGGCTGAAGTAGAAGATGAAGAAATTTG